AAAATAACCTAAACAAGAACAACTTGGAGAAAGAACAGTTTATTTTGGTTCATGGTTTCAGTGGACGCAGTCATGGTCAATTAGCACCATTGATATGGCACCCAAATGAGGCAGAATATCATGGCAGAGGGTATGGTAGAGAAAGCTGCTCAGCTCTTGGCAGTGGGGAACCAGGGTCGAAGAGAAAGGGGCCAAAGACAAATACTGTCCTCAAGGCCAAACCCATAATGACTTACTTCCTCCATTTATGCCCCATATGCCTATACTTTTCACCACCTCCCTGCGGTCCCTTCAAATTATTAAGCCAACTAATAGATGAACCCACTGGTAATGTCAGAACTCTCATGAACATTCACCTCTGGAACATGGTGGCATTGCCTTAACCATGGGCTTTCCAGATTAAAAACAGTAACAGATTTTATTATTGGTTCTATTTTAACATAATGTAGTTGTTATAACTGAGTTTCATGATGTAATTTGTTTTATGACTTTGTATTGTCCAAGTGTCTAGAGTATCAGAAGAAACTCAGACTCAATAAAGAGCAGACATGAGGGAGGTTGGTTATTAGAGGCAGGGTTATAGCAGGGGAATTGATCCTATGAAGTCAACACAGGATTGACATGTTCACATCTGAGATGAGAAAGAGTAAATTCACTTGAATTTGTTCTGGTTTGGTGGCCCCATATTGTTGGTGGAATTAGAAGACTAAGGCTCTAGGACTTGTTTTGTTCTTGTGATTAAAAACCAGGGCCTGGTACAAGCTAGGGAAGCAATCACTGGTTGACACTCCTAGCTTTAGGCAGCAGGCTGTAAAATTTTAGGCAGCTTTTCTACCTTAGCCTCTCTTTGGAGCACAATAGACAATTTTAATTGTAAGGCATATAAGTAAGAGTAATTTATATAAAGGAACAAAATGATGCTTGTTCACAGGCATACACTTAAGGTATTGCTCTATGATGTAATGTTTTCTGACAAATGCATCCTGGGTTAATTTTGTCTATATGCAAACATCAGAGTGTGTACCCACATAAAGTAAGATGGCTACATCACTAAGCGATCTAGTCTGATGGGAATAAACTGATCTTCATTGACTGAAATGTTATGTCATTTGTGACTGTAACTGGGACCACAGAGGTAAACCTTTTGTCAACAGTTCATTATTTTTTATGGGTTTGCATGTTTCTCACACAAACAAACTGAGGTTTGAGCAGAAGATTTGCTCCTGGACGTCCCCTATATGAGACTTCTAGGAAGGGCCAGTTTGGCCCATTCCTAGCCAGTACCTGATGTGTGAGAATCATGTGACTGAAATGACTAGAAAGAAGCCCTTTCCATCTTGAGGGGTTATACTTGTGGCCAAGCCGGATGTGCCTGCTTCAGATGGTAAGTCTCCTTCCTTCATATAGTGGTGGGGTGGGGTGGGGGTAGGGGGTTGTCTAGAACTTTTGGTTTTCTGAGATTGGTTTGTCATGGGACTGCTGGGCTCCTGTCACACCTGGGGCTGAACACTGGACACAGCAGCAGAGCTGGAAACATCACAGGCAATCAGGCCTCTCAGCTCTACCATGCAAGTGTGAGAAATAGGGTTATGAGGAAACGCCATAGGTGCACAGTAGGTATGTGTGCAGGAAATAAGATCCAGCTGAACAGTGCCAGTGTGGGCACCGGATATGGGAATTTGGCTGGGCAATGCAAGTGTTGTGGCCTTTTTTGGGGGAAGCTGCAGATAGATACTCCATAAGCCCCCCCCCACCATGCCCAGCATCTCTTTGTTTTGGTGTAACTGGCTCTTTACACTTGTTGCCCAGATTTTTTGCTTTGGACCCGTTTCAATTCCTTTTTAATATTTTCTGCACCAGTCCTGTGTCATTATCCCATTCCCACATGTTTACTGCCTGGTCGTAAAAACTTTGCCTCACAAAATTACGATGTTATTGTGTACGACTTCCATGGCCATAGATTCCCATCCTTGTCTAGGTTTCAAGACCCTTTCCTTAGATACATAGTCCTGGGAAAGTGCCTGGACCCCTTAGTAGGGATCATTAAGAAATTTTCTTTCTCAGACCTGTGACCATGCTCCAGGACCCCAGACAGCCTGAGGTGGACCTGGGCCTTGAGCCTTCCTCCCCCCTGTGCCACCTGCTCCACTGTCTCCACTCCCTTCCTCCCATCCCCTGGGACTGATGGGGGGCGTGGTAACTGGCTTTCCAGACCAGGGCCTGGCTCCTTGCTATAGTCCCAGACCACTCATCTCCAGGACCCTGGCCCTATCCCTATCTCTGGATCTCAGGCCCCTTGCTGGTGCCTCTACTTGAACCTCCCCTCTTTTGCCCTGGTGCTGTGGGATCCCTGCACTGCCTGGACCCTCCAGTCAACCTGATTCTCCCCAGCCTGGGCTCCTCCATGGGTCCCGGGTCTCTACCCACCCAGACACCAAGGTTCATGCTGGC